AATGGGGGAAATGACTGCTGTCCTGGATGGCACAACTTTAGATGCCACCTGAACAGTGGCTCATGTCTCTGACAATCCTTTTTCATACTTACTGCTACATCTCTAGTTCAGGGACTTGGTAACTAATCTCTTAATGGAACTATTGCAGTCATCTATATACTTGTCCTGCCTCTAAATGAGAACATAGCTCAGTCCAGTTTTTATTGATAATGGCAAATGATATACTAGGTCCTGAGGTTACCAAGATGAGTAAGACTAAACTCTTTCTCTCAGAAAGATTGCAGTCTAGCAAGAGAGACAGATATATAAAGCATGATTTTATTGTGATGAGTACTATAATTATGATATAAATAAAACACAGTAGAAACACAGAGGAAAGAAATATTAGTTCTGACTGAGGAGATTAGAGAATGCCTCATAGAGAAGGTGGCATTTGAAATGGGCTTTGAATGATCAGTAGGAAGTTAGCAGATAGAACCAGGGAACTGAGATTGAAAGGCAGGAAGGGAAAAAAAGAATGAGCAAAATTCATCTCGTTTTTATTAGATTCTACATAATGGTGCTAAATTAAACTTTATGGAAAAACTCTCAACATGCTCCTCTGCTGCTTGAAACCTTCACTAGTTGACCCTTTCTTAATGAAAGTAGGTATATCGTTCTGTATGGCTATTTTAAAATGTGGGTTTTTAAAAATTATTCAGGTTTGGTGAGACTTACAGATTAAGAGACAATTGCCATCAAAAAGATAGATTGTTACTCACAGTTCCCAAGAGGAGGGGACACACCACGTGCATTGGTCAGGGATCCATCCAGAATAATGTTTGCCAATCTGGGCATTGGAGTCTAGCTAAATTAATAGGTAAAATTAACCATCACAAGGCTAGGTGCAGTGGCTCACATCTGTAACCCTAGTGACTTGAAAGGCTGACAAGAGGATCGCTTGAGGTCAGGAGTTTGATACCAGACTGGCCAACATAGCAAGACCCCATCTCTAACACCTGTAATCTTAGCTACTCAGGAGGCTGAGGCAGGAGGTTGGCTTGGGCCCAGGAGTTTAATACTGTAGTGATTGCACCACTATGATTGCACCACTACACTCCAGCCCAGGCAACATAGCGAGACCCCATCTTCAATAATATTAATAATAACCCTTACACTACACCATGCAGAGCCACACAAGGAAGTACCAGAGTAGATTAGGAAGCAGAGGGAGTGGGGAAGGAAATGTGAGCAGGAACCCTTATTATGATTTCTGTGGGAAGGAAGGAATAGGTGAGGTAGATTCTGAAAAATCTAGAGCTCTGATGCCTCTGTAAGGGATGAGGTGTTTCTGGGCATGTTAGGAATAAGCATGAGGTAAGGTTTACACAGTAGTAAGAAAAATGGCCCAGAAGAAAATGAAAAGAGAAACCACACTAAAAGCAAAGTGGGAGGCAAAACCAGCGAGAAAGAGAAGAGAAAGAGAAGAACATACATAATGCAGTGCTGTGAGGTTTTCATACAACCAGCTGCTCCCTAAGTCTTTGGGATATGAACACTCTTCCTCTGGCTTGTGTCAGATTTTCTCTGTCTAGGGCCACCAGCATCAACATGGGGATTGCCACTCTTTATGTTCAGTCTGGTTTTGTATCAATCTTTATCAAGGAATAGTTACCAAAGTTGGTGTTTGGTTTAACAAGACACTGTGAGTCAGTTTTCTTGTTCTGGTAACTATTGAGTTCCTATAAATGTACCAAGCTTCCTATTTAGGGTGGAATCCACCTACTGTAGCTTTATCAGAATATGGAAAGGACAGAATATGGAATGCCTAATTGTTCCATGTCTGTGTCCAGTTGGATCAATGTTAATTCGGTCCTTACTAAGCGTCAGCACTGGCAAGTTACTGGGGGCATGATATCAGTAGGACGTCATCCTTATCTACTGAGAGAGAGATAATACAAGGAAATAGTTCCAATATCATGTGACTCATACAATTATAGAGGCCTGGAGATTAAAAGTAGTTGATAGTCTTTGGGCCACTACAATCTGTTCAGTTGCCAGACATTTAAATGTAGCATGAGAAATTGCAATCACTGGGAGATCATAGGTGTTAGAAAATATAACACATTTTATGTTGTCTGGGGAATGTTGGAACTTATCCCATGGATAATGGGAATCACTGGAGGGCTTTAAGCAGGAGAGTCACATGATCTATTTAATAACAATAGATCCTTCTGATTTCCAACAGGATGGAGATTTTGAGGGATATCAGACTAGAAGTGGGGAGACTAATTCGTAGGGTGACCATACTTCTCAGTTTTCCTGGAAGAGTTCAAAATTCTGCCCTTTTCTCCCCATTTCCTAATTATTAATAACACTTCTTTCCCTGTGTGTCTAAGTTTGGATAATAAATTTCATGGTCACCCTACTTGGTGTCCAGAATTCACCAGGGCTTTGTGAAGCAGATGGAGAGGAGTTACTGCCCGACACTATGAACAAGAACAGGCCCTTTGACACCTATACTGTTTGTGTGGGCGTGGATAAAAGAGATTTCAGTGAAAACTTAGTATATCAATTGAATGCTAAATGTTGCAAATATATAATGGCTAGTGGGTTAACCACTCAATGGACTTGCTGTTTATTTATCAGCTCAGTTGTACTTGCCTGAGAAATCTGAAAAGAAATGAGAAGGAAAGTCATAAGCAACTGGTGAAGGAAGTCAGAAAGATGAGCTTTAGTTATGCAGGGGCCTGAGGCCTTGCTCCTGTTCTTCAAATGAAACTGAATTTTCGTGAAAGGTTTTGATACTTACTTGAGGATAGCAGAAAGGGCCAAGAAACCTTTTAAAGTTTCATCTGTCTCTGGTCATTATATCTTTGCAAGATGGTAAGTATAGAGGCAATTCAGTCAATTGAAAGAAACTACTGTTTGTTTCCTAGTGCATATATTGAATCACAAGCTGTCACTTGGGCCTTGTGTTAGAACTCAGAAAAATTTACTTGGTGGCAGTAATTAGGGGATATTTTTTAAAAAGAGAATGAAATAATGAGACCCAAGAGAAAAGAGATGTTACTATCAGAAATAAGCTTTAGTGGAAAGAAATATGAATAAGAGGAAATGAAAAGGATAAGGGTCTGCCTTTTCCTGTATTCTTCTCTTTAAAAGTTTTTCCTTCCAGTTTCTCATTTCATACATAGGACACAGGTCTTTCCCTGACTCTAATCCCACTATTACCTTGTATTTATATAGTGCTTATCTCCTACAAACTCACAGGGCTACCTCTAAATCCATGCTGCTTCAGAAAGTATTACTTAACAAAAGGGGGATGCTTTTATTTAATCAGTCACTTCATTAAGGTGCTAGGCGCAGCTTGGAGCTGGATTTGCCTGAGGTCTGCTGATTGTGCAGTGGGCTGCACACAGGTTTGTCACAGCTCCACAGTTGCCCAGGCAAGAGGAAACATGGGATTATGATTGTCCAAGTAGGAGCCAGACCTGCCATCATCCCTTTGCTTCAACTGTGATTCAGGGAGATGTTTTTAATCTGCAAGAAATTATCCAGTTTGCTGATTTACTTTCATGGCTCTTGATGCCCCTGTAATATGTCTGTTGATTATCTCTTTATTTGAGAGCTCTTCCTTCCAACAGGCAAGAAAATTTGCTTGAATTTTTAAATCTTGGACTTTCTCCCTCATTTATACTTTCAGACCGTTGCTAGCAGAATTTCATTCCATCAGATTTCTTTCCTCTGGTTTTTGCTTCAGAGAAATAGAATGAAATGGAAAAAAAATATCTGAAGTGGAAGAGGATGAGTTTAGGGATAGAAATATTTTAGTAGTTCCTTCAAAAATGTTTGTTGCAACTTTGTTATTCTTTAGAAAATTTATGCTTCTCATGCATCTATAATTTGATGGAATCAACTCAAATTACTGCCTTGGATCCACTTAAAGTTGGTCTCTGCACATTTTTTGTCTAGCTTAAAATTGATTTTTAGAAAAGTGAAGTAGATGAGAAGGAAAGGCTGGCCTGTGTACAATTCTAGAGGGCTAGGATTTTCTTACTAGGCCCCCTTAAAGTCTTTCAACTCTCTCAGCCTTTCTTATTTCTCTGCCTCTTCTTCCTTTCCTTTTTTCTGCCTCTCCTTCTTCCTCTTCGTCATAGAGGTTAGGCAAACAATGTGCCCATTCACTATGATGAAAATATTTCAAACAATTAATTAGGAGTCAATGCCAAGGACATTGATTTTCTGGCATACACATTTGCTACATATTTTATAAATAATTTAAATTGGGCAATGCCACAGGATATCAAATAAGTTTATGTAGTAATTTTAGAGACTTTGTTGGGTAGATTGTTTTGATACTATAAACAATATTGATATTGGGTTTTCAATTAACTGAATGCCCCTGTGAAACTGGATAGTCCCAAGCACAAATTATTGATGACCCCTGATCTTCAGAATGACCGTAGAAGAAATCACACATGTGCCTCTCCCTCTCAGATGGAATAAGCCCGGGGAAGGATATGTTGTCAGTGCTTAGTTGTAAAGATAAAGCAGCCAATTACAAAAACTATTGCTAAATCTCTAAGTCAGTACAAATTGGAACAAAATAATGTTACTAATATTTATTTAGTTCATTTGTTTGGATTTTTATTGGAGAACCAGCTAAAAGAGCCAAAAGTTTCTTCTTGGTGTCTTTGAAATTTTTACTATATATAACAAACACAACCCCACACACCTCCCCACATACTTGCACTTAAAGTAAAAAATGACAAACTCTATCCAAATCCCCAGTATTTACATTAAAAATACAAAGCCAAAACATATATGTTATAGTTATTTAGGAGGATTTAGTTTGCAATGGGTTTGACTTTTTGTGCATTTGTAAATTGACACTTTATTTAGATTTTGTTGGTAGGTATTTAAAAATAACCTTCTTTATTCTTCATATTACAATGTCAGGTAAGAACTCTGATTAGAAAGTAATTTGTTAATAAGCCTCATTTTTTTGTTTATTTCAGGATTCAAGAAGGATTCATAAAACATCCTTGCATAGTAATGCAGCTATTACAATGATCTATTTGGGGAAAAATGTGCACCTATCTTCTGATAATCCTGACTTCCGGGATGAAATTAAAGTTTATCAACAGCACTGTGGTGGGGAAAACCTTTGTGTCTACAAAGGCAAACTACTTGAAAAAGGTACACATAAAATGTGAATGTTTTTTAATTGCTTGGAGTTGGTGCTATAGATAAGCTGCTGTTGATATAATATCAAAATGACTTCAATCACTTTATGAAATTATGCATATCCAGGGACTTATAAACCAGCTGCCTAAAAGTAAATCTAGATTTACTGCTCTATGATTGAAACTGAAGCAGCAATTACTCTCGCAGATTGTGGAAGAAAGGATTTGGAGTGATTTAACCTGGTAACAGATTAATTTTGGGATGGAGATATATGATCATTAAAATGTTGCACGAATAAGCTGTCCCCCAAATTACAAGTTAACTATTTGGCTTGCCATAGTGAATTATACCATACATTATTCTAAGAGAAAAATACCAGATTGGCAATTTGTTCTTTAGAAGTATGTTGAGATAAAATCACAAATCCAATAAACTGCAGGGTGAGTCACACCTAAATAACTTGGTGGAGAATTTGGCTAAATAGCTTTTCAGTACATTTTTGCTTTCATTTGATCATAAGTCCACGTTTGTCAGCATGGGATAATTTTTATATGCAACATAGGTTTTCACAAATTATACTGTAATGGTTTTTCTTCAATATTTAGTTCAAGGGAGCAGCAGTGAAAAGAAATAGTGTTTACAGGGTTATATTATTACTTCTTTGCTTAAGAAACTGGGTCCAAAAAGTAATAGCATTTTTACCAATTAAAAGAAATATTTATATTTGGATAATCTTGGTAGGAGTTAAGGGGAAAATTAGGGGCAAACATGGAATTTTTACTTTTAGTCTTTCTGATTTCCCTCATTAATTGAAGACAGTGACTATCACTTAACATAAAATTCATGTCCTTAAAGAGAGACTATAAATTCATATTGAGGAATTACATATGGAAAACTTTCCATCACAAAAATGGTAAACACTTAAATGGTAGTTTTAACTTCAAGTGAAACATAATATGATGCTCAATGATGTTAGAAACAGTTTTTTTTCCATTTTAATTTTATATATTTGGTGGGAATGCAATTTACCTTGTTTATTTTGCTGTAGCATTCCAGAGTTCATTCCTTTCATTTTGTAGATGAGGAAAATGAGATGATTCCAGAGGTGGAGTGGCTCCCCAAGGTAACACTCTGACCAGAGTTGAGAGAAAATCCCGAGCCCCTGGCTAGGTGCAAGGCCCTTGGTCAGTTCCAGGCAGCCCCAGTGAGCTATTCTGAGTAGCATGGAGTTTCCTACATTTTCATGATATGAGTGGTATGAAATCCCTAATGATAGTAGCATAGATGCATACACTTTTTTTAAAAAAAGTATAACTTTCAGCTGTTAATTTAGGAGAATGCTGAAATTAGCTGTAAAGTCGGAATTAACATGATGAAAAACTGTCCTGGACTTTATATCATACTTTATTCAACAAAATGCATATATAACATCTATTTGCTGGAAAACATGGTAGATACAAATTAAAAAGGAATGCGGCTTAGCTAAATGATTCTCTGGTAGATGATGTACACTCTGTGACGAGAGTGAAAAACCAAAGGTTATGGGAGAAAGGGTGTTACTTGGCTCAGTGTTATTTTGCATACATATTGATGCTGGGACGTTTTGTTATGGCATTGGACAGTCTTGAATAATAGGATGGAATGGGGACTTAAATAATTGAATCTTGTCCATGCAATAATTTTGTCTCAGCTTGCCCTTGATTGCCAGGAAAGTAATTGTTCAAAATTGAAAAGTTGGGTGGCTCAGAGTTGACTTGTGGTTCAGCAATCTTAGCAATTTAGCTGGACTGAAAAGAATCTGCCCTTTCTACAAATCAAAGCTGTGCATGATTCAGTAAAATGTGAATAGGGTTTTAAAAGACTTCCGTTAACAAAAGTTGGAGAGGGAGCATTTAACATTGTGCTTGGAACAGTAAACTCATTAAAATTTGACTTTTGTTAATTCATCTTGCCTTTTTATTTGAAGTATCAATAAAATCAATTATTTAGAAATGTGGCAAGTGCATCCTTTATTCCCAAGTAATTCATGATGTCTTGAGATTTGATTTCAGACTTCAATCCACAAACTGATTGTTTATTATATACACCTATGAAGTTACTGAATATTTTCTGCTACTTGTAGAGTACAGTTTCTTCACAGGCATTTTTATTTGCCATGTTTATCTTTTCAGACAACACAAACCATGGCTTCTTGGGTTCATTTTAAGTGCAAAAAAAAACCTAACATTTTTTTTTTTCTGGCTTTCTTAGAATCCCTTCCTTTTCTGCCCCATTTTCTTGTATTTCCATAAACGGATCCTGTTGCATCTATCTGTGCATTCCTCATTATGCTCTGACAAATACAGCTGCTTCACTATCCCATCCACACTTTTATTTTGCCTTTGCTTGTGCTATTTCCTTTGTCTATAATACTTTCTCTTTTCTCCTTTTCAAATTCAAATCTTACTCATCTTTTAGGACTCAGATTAAGGCTATGCAGCTTTCTCACTGACTTCTCTGTTTTATCCCAATAGCTTTCAGTCAACACTCAAAACTGAAGCAGTTCATTGTGCTTTGACTTACATTAACTGTTTTTAATTTTTTCTTTTTTGAGAGACAGTCTCTCTCTCTCTCTCACCCAGACTAGAGTGCAGTGGCACAATCATAGCTCACTATAGCCTTGAACTCCTGGGGTAAAGTGATCTTCCTATATCAGCCATGCCCATCTAATTTTTAAAATTTTTTTATAGAGATAGGGTCTTGCTATGTTGCCCAGTCTGGTCTCAAACTCCTGGACTCCAGCAATGCCCCTGCCTTGCCCTCACAAAGCATTGGGATTACAGGCTTTGGCCACCACACTCAGCTCTGTTTCTCGTTTTTCTTTTATTCATTGACTTTTTCTTTCAGTTTTAAAGAATAGCTTTATTGAGGTGTAAATTAAATACCATAAAATGTATTCATTATAAGTGTATAATTCAATTTCTTTTTGGAATTATACAGAGTTGTGCAGCCATTATCACAAACTAGGTGTGGGACATCTCCAGCACTTCAGGATGTTCCCTTGTTCTCTTTGACAGTTGGTCCCTGTCTCAGAGTCAGCCCCAGGAAGACACTGATCTGCTTTCTGACTGCACAGATTTTCTTTTCTGGACATTTCCTATAAACACAATCATACCATGGGTAGTATTTTGTCTTTTTGCTCTCACTTAGCATAATGCTTTTGAGAGTCATGCATATTTATAGTATCAGTAGTGGCTCTCTCTTTGTATTGCTAAGTATATTCCATTATATGGATATACCATATTTTAAAAAATTTATTCCCCAGTTAGAGGACATTTGTACTGATACTAGTTTGGGACTATGAACATAAACACACAAGTTTTTGTGTAGATACATGTTGGTCTTGATTAGATTCCTGGCTGTGGTTTTGATTGCTTTTATATCTAAGTATAGGTCACATTTTTCCGTTTTCAAAAACATGTCTTTGGATTGCTTGTTAAAAACTCCATATTTAGGTGGTATATATATTTTTTAATTTTTGTATTATTTTTACTTTATTTATTTTCTTAATTTTTTATTATACTTTAAGTTCTAGGGTACATGTGCACAACGTGCAGGTTTGTTACATATGTATACATGTGCCATGCTGGTGTGCTGCACCCATTAACTCATCATTTACATTAGGTATATCTCCTAATGCTATTCCTCCCTCCTCCCCCCTCCCCACAATAGGCCCCGGTGTGTGATGTTCCCCTTCCTGTGTCCAAGTGATCTCATTGTTCATTTCCCACCTATAAGTGAGAACATGCGGTGTTTGGTTTTCTGTTCTTGCAATAGTTTGCTGAGAATGATGGTTTCCAGTTGCCTCCATGTCCCTACAAAGGACACAAACTCATCCTTTTTATGGCTGCATAGTATTCCATGGTGTATATATGCCACATTTTCTTAATCCAGTCTGTCATTGATGGATATTTGGGTTGATTCCAAGTCTTTGCTATTGTGAATAGTGCTGCAATAAACATACGTGTGCATGTGTCTTTATAGTAGCATGATTTATAATCCTTTGGGTATATCCCCAGTAATGGGATGGCTGGGTCAAATGGTATTTCTAGTTCTTGATCCTTGAGGAATTACCACACTGTTTTCCACAATGGTTGAACTAGTTTACAGTCCCACCAATGGTGTAAAAGTGTTCCTATTTCTCCACATCCTCTCCAGCACCTGTTGTTTCCTGAATTTTTAGTGATTGCCATTCTAACTGGTGTGAGATGGTATCTCATTGTGGTTTTGAATTGCATTTCTCTGATGACCAGTGATGATGAGCATGTTTTCATGTGTCTGTTGGCTGCATAGATGTCTTCTTTTGAGACGTGTCTGTTCCTATTCTTTGCCCACATTTTGATGGGGTTGATTTTTTTCTTATAAATTTGTTTAAGTTCTTTGTAGATTCTGGATATTAGCCCTTTGTCAGATGGGTAGATTGCAAAAATTTTCTCCCATTCTGTAGGTTGCCTGTTCACTCTGATGGCAGTTTCTTTTGCTGTGCAGAAGCTCTTTCGTTTAATTAGATCCCATTTGTCAATTTTGGCTTTTGTTGCCGTTGCTTTTGGTGTTTTAGTCATGAAGTCCTTGCCCATACCTATGTCCTGAATGGTATTGCCTAGGTTTTCTTCTAGGGTTTTTATGGTTTTAGGTCTAACATTTAAGTCTTTAATTCATCTTGAAATAACTTTTGCATAAGATGTAAGGAAGGGATCCAGTTTCAGCTTTCTACATATGGCTAGCCAGTTTTCCCAGCACCATTTATTAAATAGGGAATCCTTTCCTCATTTCTTGTTTTTGTTAGGTTTGTCAAAGATCAGATGGTTGTAGATGTGTGGAATTGTTTCTGAGGGCTCTGTTCTGTTCCATTGGTCTATGTCTCTGTTTTGGTATCAGTACCATGCTCTTTTGGTTGCTGTAGCCTTGTAGTATAGTTTGAAGTCAGGTAGCATGATGCCTCCAGCTTTGTTCCTTTGGCTTAGGATTGTCTT